AGACACAACTGCTTGTTGGACTGACCATTCTGCATCTGCTTAAACATGCTATAGACACCGCCCAACCTTCACCCAGCTCACCTCCTGGTGGGAGAAGAAGTCACGAGGAAGTCTTTCCAAAAATGATGATAATGAAAAGGTGGTTTTTTTCCCCTGCACATCAATAACCTTGAGGTAGTCAGGAGAAGGGCTCAAAAAGGCATAAAGAGCTTCGCTCTGACAGAGTCTTTCATCTGAAAGCAGATTCTGTGGAAGAAGAGGATGAGTTACTCCTTTGCAGGGAAACCCTGTGTGCTGCTGGGAGATATACCAGGCAAAGACAAAGAAGGCAGCACTGGCTACATTTAACTCACTGTCATCACAGTTCTGAGCTCCAGGCCACTCCCTCTCCCAACATAAGCCACATTGGATCAGTTCTCAAGGACGTTAACACCAAACAGCACTATCCAGGTTGGCTGGTGCTGCCCTGATCACCCAGTTCACGGGGACCCCACGCACACAGAAGTCACTCCACTGTGTGCCACTTGGTGCCACCAGTCTACAAATTTTCACTCATCTGCATTTGAACAATTTAAAGTTTTGCAAATTATGTAAGGATACAACTAACTTGCCCTTATATGGCTATGTTCAAACTCTGTACATCAGCTACAAGAGAGAACTGTGGCTTCTCAGGTGGTGGCACTGCCTACAGGTCCCAGTCCCATCACGCTGCACTGCTACAGCCCAAGTAGGGCTAGTGTATGTCATTACACAACTGTTTTTATTGGCCCTCAAGCTAGAAGTTTCCTAAATCTCTGTGTGTACATATCAGGCCTTAAGGGAGAGGAAAGCAGAATATAAATCAAGTTTACCTATAAGTAAGGGCTATTACAAGACAGTAAACTTAACAATGTGCCCAGAGAACATTTAAGTCTCTAGTATGGTACATAGATAAACCACGGGAACTACCATGTTTATGCCATGACCCCTTGCGGGGGGACAGCAGGGAGCTGACTAATTCTGTCAACAGAGTAGGTTCAGGCCTAGTCCCAGAGCCTGATGATGGTCATGTCCTATTTGTTCAGATGGAAATGACCTGACAAACACTATGACCTTCTTGAGAATAAAGACTTTTGGGAGAGAATACCACTGCCACACTAAAGATGAAGGTCCCAGAAGACGCCACCATTCCAGCAGTCACCAGCCCTGTGCAACCCCAGGAGACTGGCCTGCCATGAGCAAGTGCTACTTGAACACAAGGAAGGAGGTCAAGAGGGACGGCTACCTGTTAGTGCCACTGCTGCCTTCCCTCCCCTGCACCCTGAAGATGCACCCTGCATCCTTTATCCCTTTGTCATGTTAGTAAAGGGTCAGTTTAGCTTGTACCTGAGGGTGGACAGTTTCCTATATCTCCATTTCTTTTAGTTGATCCACACCCCCACATCATCTTATAAAATAGTAGGATGTGATTGCTAATGCAAAGCCTCAAATTTAATACAATCAATATAAATAAAGAAATCTCATTAAGAGTGATAAGTCTTTAGGCTTAATTCAATTATGAAGGAATAAAAAATTAAATATGCATAAAATAATGCTAAGAATGTGATCACCAACTGTGTCCGCAGGCAATG